TTTTTTTTTTTTTTTTTTTTTTTTCAATAAAACATATATTATAAAGTAGATAGTAGATAATATCATATCATTGTAGAGATTTGTAGTGAATACTTTTTGTCTGTCTAGATCAGTTTACATTTGAAAATGTTAGAATTGAAGTCCGGTTGGTCACACCAACAATTAATCGAACAAATTTACAAACCCGAACTCAAAATCTATTTTATTGAAAATAATAATAATAATAATAATAATAACAAAAAAGAAAAAGCATTAAAATCATGAAAAGTAGACCGGGCACCTCACGTCCATGGAAGAAGGCAAAATCAACCCATCACGGCCCACCGACACGTCACAATTAGCGTGCATACCATGGTGCTTACTATCCCAAGCGGATATTCTAAACCGGATGGTCGACGAAATCTCCAACCGGAAACCCACGGCTCCCTTAGACCGCTCTTTAGTAAATTCCATCCACCGATGCCGGTCGACGTTCAACGTCCCTCCACTAAGCGCCGCCGTCAGCACCTTGGTAGTCTTCGGGCCTTCATAGTACTCATCCAGCAGCGGCGTGGACCCGATTTTCTGGTTCTTATAATAAACCGAACCGACCATGGAATCGTAGTAGATCCCAATGTTGAGATTGGAGTTTCGGGCCGTGACGTTGAAGACAATTTCGGGATTTTTGTAGCCGTTATCGAGGCCCAAACCCAAAACTGAAAAATGGTGAATGAAAAATCGGGGCCGGTGGGGTCGTAAACTAAGCCACAGAATAAACGTTATGATACCCACAATGAACAACAAGCCCAAGAAGACGGCGCATATGAGCTTGGAGACGCGCGTGGTTAGGCTGTCCTTGACACGCTGTGCGTAATAGCGCGGCGTGTGGTGGCGCTTGATTGGGCGCTGTTCTGGCGTCTTCGTCTCCGCCAATTGGGTGGGAGTGTTCATTTTGCAGGATCACAAAGCATTGTGTGGGAGGTGGGGGTGCTCAAGTAGTGAATATATAAAGGGAATATGTTGGTTGGGGGAATTTTTACGAGGAAAGAAAAGAATAACAAGATGGGGTCTTTTTTCCCAAGAACAATGAAGCAATCGAGTTATTCTTGTCTGTTTATTTGAAAAAGTTGGCGTTTGATCTTTTGTAGGAGTTGTGGAGGGATTGGAGAATGGTGTTTTTATTATTCAATCTTTGATATTCTTTTCCCCCATTTGGGTTCTTGTATTATATCAATCAACGTATGGTTGTTGTATTGTATTATCCACCTGTGCTCTTACCCTTCCTCAACTTTTTGTTGTATTCAAATGTTGTTCGGTTCGTTGGCCCATTAGGCCCATTACTCCACTCTTAGTGGGCTGTACTTGGCCCAACTTCTGAATTTAATTTCTTGTCCTGCGTGGGATGCAAGTGAGATGCACTCCCACGCTCCTAACGTTTTAAAGCCTTAAGAGAAATCCCAAAAAAGACAATATATACTAATAGTAGATCTGGGTCGTTACAAATTATCATCTACCCAAAATTTATAACCCTCGAATAATAAATAGAATTTGATTTTTTTTTACGTGGGATGAATTGTAATTATGATGATTGATTTCTTGTGAAGAAATATTTATATTCATAGTATGCAAATAAATAATAATAATTAAAAAAAAAAAAAAAAAAAAAAAAAAAAAAAAAAAAAAAAAAAAAAAAAA